ACGCACTGGGAAGGACCCTACAAGATTGTCACGAAAATTAATGACGTCGATTATCGCATCCAGAGGAGCGACAGTCCCGGGTCGAAGATGAAAGTTGTACATTTGGAGCGGCTGGCCCCCTACGGAACGGGAACTGTGCATATTCAGGACGAACAGGCTTAAGCGAGGGGCAATGTTACGAATATAACTTTAGATTTAAGTTAATTTAGATGAATTCCGTTAATTTAAGAATTTGAATTGTAACGTAAATTTCTACTACGCAGTTTATTTGAATAACTTCACAACAACAACAACTACTGTATAGATTTTTCTACATCCTTCCATTTCCTCTTTCATTGTCTATTTTGTTATTGACGTACAATTCTTGTTAAACGTCATTCCTATTTCTTTGTTACTCCCTCGCAATAATAAGGTGATGTATCAAAACAAAAACATTTTTTTCCTTATAATATTTCAAAAATTTGGCAGCATTGAACACGGAATTCAAGTAAAATTTACCACTTTGACAGTTAATCAAGACATCAGCTGATCTAAATGGACTACCTATTCATTGTGCCATGGCCTGTATATGTGTGTTGTTATTGTTCACTCCCCCCTAAAACTTCTTTATATATACACACGCACAATTATTTACAAAAACAAAATATTCTTACCAAAAATGTAAAAAGTAAGATTTTAACATTTTTTGGACACAATATACCAAAGTTCCAATCATAGGGCATGCATTCCTCTAGCCAACATGTACTAATCAGTTAGTGCATGCTCCTGATCAGCGTCTGACCACCGGTCTTAAATAGTTTGGTTGATAATTCATCGGCACCTCCTGCTTTATTATTTTTCAGCCGATTAATTGCTATTCTGACCTCATTTTGGCTAGGTGGTATACACTCTACATCATAATCTCTGATTGGTTCTGGGGTATCTTATTAATTGTGCGATGCGAAAGCTAAATGCGTTAAGAGTACAATTTGGTACTCTGTATCGCTCACGCAAACGCATTCGCAAAATAAATTGAAAATAGGGCAACACTGGCACCACAAAGTAAACAATGACGAATAGTGACAAAAGGAAACGTCAAAAGATTGTAAATAAAAACATATTTTTATGTGGTAAGAGAGTTTTTTTTAACAAAAATGATAAACGAATTAAAAAAAAAGAATTTTAGGGGATGGATCAAATATACTCTCCCTAAGTGAACTGGGGGGTTACTCTGTATTGCGTTGCGAAAGCATGTGCGATGCGAAAGCTTAATGCGTTAAGAGTACAATTTGGTACTCTGTAACGTTCACGCAAATGCATTCGCAAACTAAATTGAAAATAGGGCAACACTGTCGCCACAAAGTAAACAATAACGAAGAATGACAAAAGGAAACGTCAAAAAATTGTAAATGAAAACATATTTTTGTGTGGTACGAGTGTTTTTTTTAAACAAAAATGATGAACGAATTAAAAAAAAAATGTATGAGATCAATCAAATATACTCTCCCTAAGTGACCACGGGTATGAAAATATAAGTACGAATTATGTGACAAATGTTTTCAAATATTTAATTTTTATAGATTTATATAAAATGTCTCAATAAAGATTCGTTTTATTCCAACTCCAATAAAAGGGGCCGCTGCTTTGAAATTGCTTGGACAAGGTGGTTATCAACACCAACCTATAAATATGCACACATAGTTTCACATTTTTTATAAAAAAATAATATATTACCTTTTCCAACCACCGACATCTTTTACAGGAGGTCAATTTGAATTGAGGTCATCAGACAGTTTTGTCCACAAATTGTTGGCGCGTTGTTTCGCATTTGAACTCTGCAACTTTTCCTTTGCCAAATCACTGTGTTGCCCCATAAAATCTACTGAAGTCAGGAACTGACTGTGACTTTTTGCTTTTTACTTAAAATAATTTACAATTTATATATAAATAAAACCTTTAATGGAGCTTACTTATATGTTTCGCTTCCTTTGCGTTTGCTATTTTGTTAACGCAAGATATTTGCGCTTAACGAACGAGTTTGACATGCGTTTTCGTATTACAGAGTGCGGTGATGCTACATTTGCGTAAAGTAGATGCGAAAGGAGATACGAAAACGAATTAGAGAGTACCAATTACGCGATGCGTTACAATTTTTCTCACGCATCGCAATACAGAGTAGCCCCCCTGGTATGAAAATAGAAGTACGAATTATGTGACAAACGTTTTCAAATATTTAATTTTTATCAATTTTTTTCGTCTCAATAAAGATGCGTTTATGTATTTAGAAAACGCTATTAAAATGACCTCGACGTTCCAAAAAACCCCACAGCAATTCCAACTCCATTGAAAGTGGCCTCTGTTTTGAAATTGCTTGGACAAGGTGGTTATCAACACCAACCTGTAAATATGCACACATAGTTTCACATTTTATATAATAAATATAAAACATTCACCCCTATTCCGTATGTCGTCGTCGTTGTCGACGACGTTTCTCTTTCGACATCACTTCGACACTGATTTGGTATTCTGTAACACTCATGCGACGATGTCGACTATTTATCGATAATATCAATAAAAACAAAAAAATGTTGCATATTTTTGGGCAAAAATGTGTTTGTATCCTTCACCGCACTGTGGCACAGGCTAAATGTGTCTGCAACGACCAAAAAGAAACGAGATAGACCCATAGTTTCTTTTTATTATATATGTACATATAATTATTTTTCAGTCGATTTATGCATGTCCCTCCATCCATGTATTAGTTTAAACAAGTTACATGCCACCATTATGATCCGAATGGGATGAAATTTGGAAAAGTGCATCCAATTGGGATGAAATTTTATTTGGCGAATAGACGATTCCTGTTTATATTGGTCAAAATCGGTTCAGATTTATATATAGATCCCATATATTTTTCTTTATTTACACTTTATTTTGCATTAAGTATTGTATAGATTCTAGAATGATGTATCCTGTTCTTGTCCGGTCATGTTTTTTTTTTAATTTCTAAAAAAATGTTCAAACGCTTCAGTCGTCAACAAAAGCTATGACGAAGAAATTTCGACATCGTCGTCGTCACACATTGTTACGGAATACCAAAAATGTTTCAATAGTTATCGATAAATGTCGACAACGACATACGGAATACCAATTTGCAAAAGACGACTCTCTTCGACGTCGTTTCGTGTCGACGACGACATACGGAATAGGGGTGATTATTTAGTACCCACCCTTTGCCTAAATGGCAAATTTATTATTCAAATAATAATTAAAAACAAAATATCAAAATTAATTTTAGAATGGAGGGGAGCATGAATTACAATTAAGAATACACATTTAGTTTGAGATCGTTTTATTAATCAATAATGAATTTTTTTTAGCCAAACTAAGGTCTTATTTGAACGAAATCCATTCAGTTCAACATACATGTGATGTTAATTTGACATATTTAATAAATGTTTCCATGTAGTATTTCCAAAAAAAAAAAAAAAAAAAAAAAAACGATACGAACAAATCAATACAAATGAAGAGACATATTACCGAAAACACACAGAAATGCTAAAGCCGTTTATAATAAAAGAGATTTTCTTATTTACTTACGAATATTAAAAACATTTTGATACGAAATACAATCATCTAATATATAGAATGAATTTAATATTTGAGAAAGGGATAACTGTGCGATATTTATAAACTTGACACAGTCAAGTGGTGATCGGTCCGTGTATGAATGTTATTCCTTTGCAGCATCCGACGTTCGCCGTTTACGTTCGAACCTTGTCCAACGGAACGTATGACCACGGTATTTCACTTTATAGGGAGTAAGTTGTGTGGTAACAATTTGCAAATATGACATGACAGATTGCTGACTACTCGCTGGGCCTCTTGAAAACAGAGACAATCATATATATAAATATATATAATACCACATTAACATGTTTAAGATAAATATATATATTTTTTAACTAACGTTCATGATTATTTCTTTGTTTTTCTTAATTTTACAATACTAAGAGTATAATAATAATCATCATCGAACAATATGCAGAAATAAATTAAAGATTTCATAGATGTTTGTTTCGTGTTTAATACGTGTATGTTTGAGTGTAATTGTATAATATGTTTCTTCTATATTTTATGTATGTATGGAGGAGGATTCTTTAGTTGTTACGCTTCGTTCAAGACATTAAAAATGGAATTTTGCATACTTTTGTTGTATTAATTTGTAATTATAATTAGCTTCAATGTTTAAAATGCTAAAAATACAAATGTGTGCATTTTTTTATTTAATTAAATTTACTTTGTTTGTTTTGCGTTTTTCACTTTGTTATGAAGACAATAATAATAATAGTAATTAATAAGATTTTCATATTTAATTTAACTACACTCACAGAATTATTGAACATGTTTTAACCCGAGATAAAATAAAGGAAGAAATACTTGTTGTTTGTTTTTGTTTTGATTTTTATCTTACTTGTTAGTTAAAACGTTTAATAGAAATAATAATAATAGTATAATAATTAAAAAGAACTATCGGAAATACGAATATGTTGAATACGATGATGGAAAGAAAGTACAATTAATATATGTATATATGTTTGTAAGTTGTTGGTTTTTTTTATATATTTAATATATGTATGTAGTTTTTGCTGGGTGTGTGTATTTGTATGTATGTATGTTTTTTAGATCACAATGATGGTGAAGCACATTTTAGTTGAAACATCATCAGTAGCAGACAACAGTTATTCTGTTATTCGTTTCTTCGTTTTTGTGGTGTATTGCGGGTGGGGATGGGCCAAATCGAATGCCGAATCAAACATTAACGACAATTATACAAATAGAACTAGTAATGGTGAATATTTTCTGTAAACTATAATTACTAAAACATATATAAATAATCAAAAATGCAGGTTACGTTGTTGTTTGTTTGTTTTTGTTTTCCTCTTTTTCTATTTTGTTGATTTTTTCAATCAATGTTCAATGCTTTTCGATTCACCCTCAATAGCCATTTTCTCATTGTATTCACATACAGAATCACTTGATCTAATTTATTACAGCTTATGGGTCGGGTTGGCGCTCTTTAAACTTTAGAGTTTCCTCGAATATAAGCTTCTTTAAGGTTTCTCTTGGAAGATCATCTAGTTCCATTCCAATACGAAAAGGTACTTCTGCAACGGGCTGCAAAAAAAAAAAAATAAAAACAAAATACATCATTTTGAGAATGTTAGCAGCACAGACGTCTTTATTTTTAATATTATAGTTTGACACATAAAAATTATTTAATTCGCTATTACAGTCGTATAGTATATACCGTATTGTGCAGACGTGAATTTCTCCTCATATAACAAAACAAAACATACTTTAAAATATAGTACTGTTATTCGTGCTTGTTCTTCTTCACAATACAAGAGTCTAAGCAAAACAATAACAAAAATAAATTGAACAAAATTAAGAGACCGTGCGACGATGATGTTGTTGCCTCTTCAAGGCATTTAACTATGACCAAGGTATATTTAATAAGGTAGCCGCATCGGCCCAGCTGTTGGTGCAAATAAATGTCAAAAGTGTTGTTGTTATGTAAAACCAAAAAATTAAAAAACAAAATTATAAATGAAAATCTCCGAATTTCGAAGAGCTTGTTTGGAAATACTTTTATTAACATTTTCTACATGAATTTGTGTAAAAAAATCTTGTCAATCTGTTTGTTTTGGCAAAATATTTTTGACATATCAAAATACAACAACCGATGTTTTTTGTAGAAATTCGCCGATGCGGCTACCTTGTATATCTACCTTGACTATGACTAAAAAACCAAAACCTAATAGCTCTTCTCAGAGAGTTGGAAACCAAAACTATTTCGCCCTCTTCAAGCTGTGGGTCCTGATGATGCAGATGATGATATCGAAAATACTGTTATCGATAATCCGAGCAGTGATAAAATACCACCGATAACTATTCTGAAATGCAAAACTGAACAAGTACATGAAATGTGCAGAATATTAAATATTTCGTCGTACTCTATACGAAAAATCTCCATCGGATTAAAACTTTTTCTTACTAAGAAAGAAGATTTGAATGCCATGTGTGATGCACTCGACAATAATTTTAATTTGGAATATTTTTCATATGTCCCAAAAACCAAAAACCTTATAAGGTGATTCTATTAAATTTTGATAAAATGGACCCAAATGTGGTAAAAAAACACATTTAAATGAAATGGGCTTAAAATGTATGGATGTGAAACTTGTCATCAGAAAGGCTAAGGATGGACTCAACGAAAACATAACATATATGTTGTTTATTTCCAACGGAAAACAATAACTTTAAAGGAGCTCCGTCAAACCTATTCTTCAATAAATCGTATAAGAATCCGACGGGAATACCAGAAACCCAACAAAGGTTTGTTATAACTGTCAAATGTATGGTCATGGATCCAATCGTTGTAAAGTCAAGACCTGAATGCAATACAACAATTGAAAAATGTGCAAATTGCAGTGACAATCACAAATCGTCGTCAGTTGACTGTCCTAGCCGCTCTAAGTATATTGAACTGAGGAAACGTTACGAAACTCGCAGTATTAAGAAGCCAACAGTTCAATTTAACAATAAATTTAATTACATCAAAGAATTCCCTAATAATCTCAATCTACCGGAGATTCCGACCGTATATGTGTGGGCTATTCCCCAAAACAATAATCGTCCAAACAATAATTTATTTTCAATAGATGAAATGAAAAGTCTCACTATTGAACTAATTTCAAATTTAAGCAAATGCAAATCGAAAGCGGACCAATTTGAGGTCATTACAAGTTTAGCATTTAAATTTTTATATTGAGCTCAACAAATCTGAAAATAATGGCATGGAATGCGAGAGGCATCCGAAATAAAAATGAAGAATTAATACATTTTCTGAATAAACACAATATCGATTTCTGCCTTTTAAATGAGACATGGCTAAATAAAAATCATTCATTGAAAAACACAAGATACTATGTTTATAGAAAGCATCGTGAAGGTAGTAGAGGAGGCGGAGTGGCTATTCTCATTAAAAAAATATCCAACATCAACTAATACCGCCTCTAAATACTGTAAATATTTAAAATATCGGAATTAAAATTTATAGAGGAAATGAGTATTTATACGTTTACTCCTGTTATTTTCCAGGAGGAATTTCAAATGCGGAGTTGAGGAAACGTTTTTCATCCGACTTGCGAAAGATAACAGATCCTACCTTCAAATTTGTTTTAGGAGGAGATTTCAATTGCAGACACACTTATTGGGGATGCACTAGAAACAATTCGTGGGGAAATGTATTATACGACAAACTGCAACATCGCGACCTACAAATCCTTTTTCTCCAAACAATTCATATATCCCGGCAGATGCAAGACGACGTCCATCTAACTTTGACATTTTTCTGATAAACGTATCCCAAAATGTGCTTTCTATTAAGACTATCAATGATTTATGCTCGGACCATTTACCAGTCATCTGCGATGTCAACGCGAATGCAGCAACAGCTGAAACACTACATTTTGATTATAATAGAGCAAATTGGAAAAGATATAAAATGTTTATAAACGAAAATATTTCTAATTCCGAAGAAATCGCATTATGTGACGACACAACCCAAATCAACAGGATGATTGAAAAGTTTATTAACGTCATTAAAGCTGCAATCGACAACAGAGTTCCTAAACGTGTACAGTCTTATCCAAACAAGTCAATTCCTCTTTTTATAAAAATTTTAATACAACACAGAAACGTGTACAAACGGAATTTTAAGAGATTCAGAGAAGACTCTGACCGTTGTCAAATGAATCGGTTGAATAAAATCATCAATAAAGAATTATTGAGTTTAAAAACAAGTCTTGGAATAAAATGTTATCCGAATTAGATTACTCCTCTAAACCTTTATGGAAAATCTCTAAAGTTTTACGTCGAAAAACTAAAAACATTCCAACATTAAACCTCAACAATTCATTTCTGTACTTACAAAAGGTTAATGTGACATAATAGCTAAGCATTTTGAAATTAATCACAACCTAAGCAATAATCTTAGCGACACAGAAACTATTTGTGAAGTAAACACATCCTTGTCCGAAATACAATACATAAACAGTAATATTGAAGAAAATTGTTACTTAAATGTTGCTCAAACCGAGGCACTTTTAAAAAAAATGAAGGTCAGAAAATATCCTGGTTTGGACGGAATAAACAATAAAAGTTTAAAAAATTTAAGCAGGAAAGGGAAAGAATTCCTAACAACTATGTCTTGATTTAGATTAGGCGAGTTTACTTGCGGCAATTCTTGTCGTTCTCCTTTGAACTTGCTTCATGCGTCCAACAAATACGAAATACACAAAACGAATTGCCAGAAAATTGTCGGTACGAGCAATTTTTTTCATTTCTATTCCCCTTGCCCCTCTCTCCTACAAACAAAGACTTGCCGCAAGTTAACTCGCCTAATCTAAATCAGGACTATTTTAAACTCCTGTCTTAAATTTTCATACTTTCCTACTGCATGGAAATGTTCGAAAACAATTCCTTTACTCAAACCAAATAAGTCACCCGATAGTCCTGCATCATATAGACCGATAAGTTTGCTGTCGTCATTAAGTAAAATATTAGAATCTGTAATCAAAGAAAAACATCTTAATTTTATAAACATAAATGACATTCTTCCTCCTCAACAGCTTGGTTTCAGAAGGGAACATAATACTGTCCACCCTCTGTTAAAAATTAAAAACACGGTCCTCGAAAACTTCAATTTGAATAAATTAACTGGAATGGTTCTACTGGATATAAAATCTGCTTTTGACTCTGTCTGGCACGACGGTCTTATCTTTAAATTGAGGAAATTGAACTTCCCTTTGTATATTATTAAAATTATACAAAGTTTTCTCAAAGAAATAACTTATAAAGTTTACATTGGTGCTACTTCTTCCGCAGTAATCAATGTAAATGCCGGATGTCCCCAAGGATCCTGTCTATCGCCAATACTTTACAACATATTTACACACGACATACCGTCTCTTATAGGATGCTACACATCTATTTTTGCCGATGACACATCAATTATATGCTCTGATACTTATGCAATAAATATAACTAACACGTTGGAGGCAGCTCTGCGAAAACTGCACTCTTATTTTCATAAATGGAAGATTTTACTGAATGCTTAAAAAAACGAAGCCATGTTCTTTACTAGGAAGCGCAAAGATTGTTTCCTTCCACAACGGCCAATCATCTTAAACAACTGTAACATCGAATGGAGAGATAATGTAAAATACTTAGCAATCATACTGGATAAAAGATTAACTTTTAAAGCTCACATTCCATACATCTTGGACAAAATTAATAAGGTTACCAGAATTATGTACCCGTTGATTAATAAGAACTCAGAACTTAATCTTGAGAATAAGAATCTTATCTACAAATCAATTTTTCAACCTGTTATGTTATACTGTGCTCCAGTTGACATTTTGCAGATGAAGGCCAATCTGCAAAATGTCATCTAAAGAAACTTCAAGTTTCGCAAAATAAGCTTTTAAAAATGATCTACAACCTTCCTTGGTTATATTCCTCTAGAAGACTACACACTCTAACGGGATTCCAGACTGTCCAGGAAAGAATCAACATCTTGATAAATTCATTTAGAGACAGATGTCTAATTTCTCCATAGCCACATATTAATGATATAATGTCATAGTAATTTTAACTCTTAACCTACAATTTAAAAAACATTCAATGAGTTTTTATTTCGCTCTTCTCCCAACCTTATCCAATGATAATTGTTACTTATTTATATTATTTAAACCACATAATGATATAGTAGAACAGGGATTAAAGATCCCTAAGCTCTTGTCTTATAATTATATATATTATATAATATATATATATGGGCAATATTGCCAATTTTTTAATATTCCATTTTCAAAAAATCAGCTTTTTTGTTTTTGTGGCACATCAATGATTTTTGGTACACATATAGAGAAAAATGTTCTGACTCCGAAACCGTTCGCGATCAAATTTTTGGTTGATGCGCGCAAAAGTTATCGAGGTTTTAATTTTGGGCATAAGAAAAAAATCTTAAAATTACGCCGTTTATTATATTGACCAAAAACGTTGATATATATCTTCCTCCGTAAAATAAGAATATGAATATATTATAATAA